CTTTTCAGTTGAGCCCAGTAACATACTCAAGATTTTACCATTAAAAAAAGCTTCACACAAGAATGGTTAACCCAGTATGAATACCTGAGTTGATGGCTGGGAAGTAGAAAATGATGGAGCTGGACCAGTATTTGCTTGTCCATTGGTTACAACAGAGGCAGAATCAGATGTAACAATAGCCAGCGGGTTTGGTGCAAATACATCTGAAAGAGAGCCAAGCAAATCCATTTCGGCATTATTTGAAGCGGGAGGGGCAGAAGTGGAAACCACTGTGGGTTGGCTAGGTACAGGAGCAGAAGCACCAGCTGTAGGTACACATGCAGCTGGAAAAGAAATGAAGTATAATTACACAATGCCAAACACTCAGATCCGATCACAATCCTAAACTGCCTAATAAGGTGCTTTTAACATTTTCTGAAGTATCAGTGAATTCCTATGTTGCTGTGCTGAGGAGTGTAAGAAAGAAAACATTTTAAAACAAAATCAAGCTTGGAGAAAACTATACCTGAAACTGAACCTCGTGGATCAAATTCATCAAAAGCCTCAACTTGCTGAGGAGGTGATTCGTTAACGAACCCAGTATCTTTGTTGTCCACGCTGCTTCTTTCAGCAGGAGGAGAAGCATCAACTCCTGCAGGAGCAACTTGTGAAGTCTCCCCACCATCCCTGAGTCGAAGAATTTTTAAAAATTGTTCAACTGAAATCCAGAATCGCTAAAAAAGTAAGGTATTTCGCAATTTGTACTGTAAAAAATTGTCACCTTTCACTGTAGACAGGGCTCCGTGATTCACTGACAGCTTCTTCATAACTAGGTGGAGCAGCACCAATATTTTGTTCGGAAAACTTCCTCTGTAGCCCCACTCTATCAAATCAAAAGTAAGAGATAAGAGCTGACATTTTTTCCAATTTCCACAATACTTGATACAAATAAAAAGGCACATCTGAAAACATCCAAAATCAGCAAAGATCTAGGAAACTACCTCCCATCTTGAGAATGATCATCAGCTCGTCCACCGCTGCCCCTGAAAGAAGTGAAATGTTTCATCAAATTTCTGAAATGATGCTCAGGACGAGATTTTTTACATCAACGGCATCTAAGCTATCATCCATCCAGATATTGTTGATTGATCACCCAACAATTTTCTCTTATTCTTCAGTTCAAATTTAAAGCGGAGACATTATAAAGTTAATAACCATACCGAGATGAAGACTGGCCATCATCCTCAAAAGGCCGTTCCCTGTCCGAGCTCCTGCCTCTTGATCCATTTTGGTAGTTATCAACACTTCTGCTCCTTCCTCGGTATTCATCATCTCTGTCACCATCTCTTCCATATCGTTCTTCAGAGTCTCTAGAATAACGATCTCCATCGCGACTATTTCTATCGTCATATTCTCTTTCTCTCCCATAACTACTTCGCCCTTCATCTCTGTCTCCATAGCGGCCCTCATAATCATATCTGTCCCCATATCCTCCTGATGGTCTCTGCATCCCACCTACTGTTGAGTTACGATACCTGTAGTACAGAAATAAGTAAGGCTCTGGGAAATATAATCCCTTTCTCTCAGGAAGAGTTTACTTAAAAAACAGATGCTCATAATGCTGAAGCAAAGCAATATCAAATTAATGAATTTAGCATGAAGCATATGCAATTGTGAAGCCTGTGTACCCAGCAGTTCTAATCAAACATACTGACCCTGTGAGGAAACAATCTAGCAATCCCAGAAAATTAAACAGAGAAGCAGACTTACTTGTCTCTGTTAGCAGCAGCCTTCTCTCTGACCTCCGCTATTCTTTCTTTGTCATTTACCAAAGCCACAAGGCTCTGTGACTTCTTCCTGACATTGCTACCTTGATCTTTACCGCTGGAATCGATATACTGAAAATCAGCCAATGTCTGACACATGAAAAAAAGGATAAACTCCATCAGTAGATAATCAACAGCTGAGATACAAAAAAAAATTCTAGTTGAATACACCCAAAATAATTCACTACTATGTGGACATTACCGAGATTTGATATGCACGTTCTTTAATCTCGTCTATGACACGTTCTGATCCATGGCCTACCATGTACTCCAAGACCGTCAATGCCTGATGAGTAGAAAAGAGATAACTTAGCAAGAATTAGTTTCATTCACTGTGGCAGCACTATAAGCACATAAGAAAATAGGTCAGCCTTTATATCTCTTTTACCTTATAGACATGCCGCCAATTTTTCCCAGTGTCACTAAGACGTTTCCATAACACTCCCATGGTCAGCTGGTATTCATGGCTGCATAAGAAAAATAATGATTCAACCATAAAATAATATTATGGAAAAGGAGAACATGATAGAGGTAGTTGTAATTACTAATTTCTCGAAGCATGCGCAATATCAGCAAGGAGTGATCCATGCGGACCCCAAGACTCATTGCTGGTAGCATCTAGAACCTGAACAAGAAACATAAGTGCAAAAAAGAGAGTCAAACAAAGTGAAAAGCATATTTGGTAGTGTCAACTAAAGATGAGTTATTCTAGTAATATAATTCAACCTTTACAACACTTGTAAAAATTGATTGATACAAATATTCAATCATCATAGAGAAAAACAGCATCTTAATCTAGGCATCAGAAAAAAAAAAAGAACCCAGCAGGGTTTACCTTCTGTTCTATTCCAGGTACTTTAAGCACTTTCTTGTTGACCCCTCTCTTACTACAAGCAATTAGATGAAATATTATCAAATAAACATCTTGAATTGAAAAAAAGTAATTCACACATGGATCAACAAGATAAAAACATTGAATTCTAAGTACTCAAATCCTTACAGGTCTCTGACAGTTTGACCAAATGCTTTCTTCATATCCAAATGCGAAACGCTGCTTTTTATAGTGGATGCGCTACGTGCACTGCTCCGAATGTCAAAGAGCTTTCACTGTCAATTGTTTCAAACATATCATCAATCACCCAAAAAAATGGTAAAAGAAAGAGTCATATTAAAACAAAATCTTGTAGTTTGAAACTGGATAGAATAAAAAAATGGAAAACAGGAGCCCACAATGAATCAGCATAACCTCACATTCAAATGTAAGACTACTAACTAAGAGTATAAAGGAAAGTTTAATAAAGCATCAACCAAATTAAGCAACATTAACAGATATATACATCACACCACAATAAGACAAATTTCAATAAAAGACCATCAAATCATCATCAAAAGAAATAGCGATCACAAATGACGTGCCTGTGATCCATTTTTCGTTCAGATTCAACCTTTGCAACAAAATCTCCCAATTCAACACAGACCGACACATTTGGGATCCGATTACAAATGGTAAACAGTCAATGTTTGATCAAATGCGAATAACCACAATCAAAATGTAGCTTCTAAACATTTTTTTAAAACATCGATTGCCTCAAAATTTCATCTCTCAATCAAACGAATTTCCCAAACACGAAACGTAAAATGACAATCTCAGCTCAAATTATC